CCCCAAAACCCCAAAACCCCAAAACCCCAAAACCCCAAAACCCCGAGATAAAGAGATAGATTGAGGATAATAGAATAAGTAGTACTAAAACAACAATGGAGCTAGGGATTGCCTGCAAAATTAGAGAAAGCTATAATCTGACTTTGTACTTCCTTCTATTATCTTTCTTCACTATTAGAACTCTATTTTTGGCGTTCTCAGGCTTTCTAGTGGGTTTTAGAAATAGTACAGTTTAGCTAAAAATTTAAGAACAGCCATTAAACCCTCCTTTTTGACTGAGCGAAAGGAGCATTGATAAGGAAACACTAACTTATGGATAAAGAATTGGATTTATTAGCTTAATAATCGTATTATTCATCTCTCTTAATGCTAGCATATCGTGTAAGAATTTCTTCTACTTTTTCTCTTGAATCGGACAATTTAGGATATGACTGGATTATTTTCTCGGTGATTCCTGATTTTTTCAAAATTTCAAAGAACTCAAGAACTCCTTCCACTTTAAAAAATTGGGTGTATTGAAAAATAGAGTACTTCTTCATGATGATCTTCACTCTCCTCTTCAAACTAACAAAGAAAGGAGTTTTGGCTGGAATATTATAGTCCAGAGTCATCATCAAGGAGAAGACTTGCTTGACCTTTTCTTGCAAAATTTCAGATTCCCCATATTTATTCTTGAAAATGTCTAAAAAGTACTTTTTGAACATCTTTTCAAGATAAAAATAGTACTCTTTATTAGATTTCAGCACTCTTCTGGGAGGCTCCTCAAGCTCAGAGATATAAAGTTCCCATAGGTAGCGCTTGATACTGCGCATAATTGTTTTGTTGATGACATCAGCCCTATCAGCAAATTTTCCCTTCTTATGCGAATTCTTGTTTCCCTTGTACCTTAAATTAGGCGCTCATAAACTAGCCTCCTGTGTTAAGTTATCTAGGTTAGCATCTTTCTGCTTAATCTCAGAGATTGGTGGACTAGCTGATATCTCCTCGTTATACTTTTGGTTTTCAGTAGTCTTCAGATTTTTCTCTGAAACCTTATTTTTCAAAAGTTCTCCTTCTTCATGACCACAAGGTGCAAAATTTAGAAGTTCTACCATGTTTTGTTAGATTTTAAACTTTTGATTGAAATGAAAACTAACTATTAGGTTTGATAAAATTGATGAAAATTTATAAGTGATCCAGCTAGCTTAAAGATTATAAACTCACCTGCATTTTCTAGTCATTCATCCTGCTTTTTGAGCAGTAAATTCTTTTGAAAGCTCTCTTGGTTGTCTAAAAAGAGGAGTTAAAATAGTTTAAAACCAAATTTTGAAAAGTAAACCTAAATTCAAATCCAAAAACTAGTAGTTGCTTGAGGACAACTCAAATTGTTATTTTGGTTATACTCTTTCTTTAAGACATTCTAAGTGACTTGTCTCTTATCCACAGACTCTCAGGATGCAAAGACTAAACCTTGAAATACTAACATTCTCTTCACAATTTAATATTATTCTCTATGTTTCCAAAAATCGTTGTAAATATTCTATCAAAGACTAGGCCCAGCATAAAATAACTGGTGAAGAAAAATCAAAGCAGACACTTAAAATATTAACCCAAGGCTCCTTGATGCTATTCATGTAGGGTAAGCCGACTGGGGTGCTCTCTGAGCACATTTTGGAGTGCTGTTCTGATAAACGAAGAATGGTGGATTTCTTCCTTTTCAAGAGGCTTACAAATATCAACTTAGAATCTATTAATTAAATTGGCAGGGTGCTCTAATTCCTTACTACAATTCTCCTACCAAATCCCAATCTAATATTTCCTTTTTCATAAAAATTCTCAAATTCAATCGTTTAGGAGTATATCTTGGCTTTATCTTTCATACTATCTCTCAGTCTTCTAATCTTAAGAAAATGCTTTCACTTGTTGCTTCTCCCTCTAAACAGACCTTTCAGCCCTGATTGAAGCTCATTAAGCTCCTTAATAGTTATCCATAGTATAAGACTAAATGTTGTTTTAAAAAGCATTCTCTTACTATTTTTATTTTTCTTAACTTTTAAATTATCAGTACAAGTTAAAAATAAACATTTTCTTAAAGCTCATGACGATCGCCAGAGATAACAGCAATCATCATAATTATAATAAAGACAGTCTTAACCCAGCTTAGGTTTGAGCTTCCTGCCCAGCGATGTTCTATTGAGATAGGCTCAAAAATATAAGTAAAACGTACTTATTTTTATTTTTAGCTTAATATTAAGCATTTAGAAACTAATTTTGATATAGTTAATGGCAATGAACAAGCAAAAAGTCTCATCCTGGTATGATTGTTAAAGATGCTATAGAAGACTCTGGCTGAATCTTAGATTATGGAAAATATTTGATATTTTATGCTTACCTTCTTCAAAACAATCCCATTGAGGGAACTGAATATCTCCTGGCCATGATTGCCAAAAATCAGAGTGATCTGCAGTGTAATCCTTTGAATTAGGCATAACATTTAAACTTGATCTCGGACTATAATTGAACATCTTTGGTTTTAAATATTTATTAAACTCCTACTTAAATCATGCCTCTTGGGGTTTTGGGGTTTTGGGGTTTTGGGGTTTTGGGGTTTTGGGGTTTTGGGG